TACTCAAAGGAGTCTATCCATGTCGTAGCATGGTCTCAAACAAGAAATGTACAATCAATCCAGCCTTCGAAGTTTTCACAAGCACTCATCAAACTTTCACATGAAATACAGATCCGTCCGTTCCTCTATCACCTCTTTAGATCTCAACAGAGTCTAGTAGTGATAGACGAAGGGAGATCTTAAATTACCAGAGACTCAACCAAAGACAAAGGCTATGTGACAAGTGCGTCGTGTCCACCAACTCATCCCCTTTGGATACATATATAAATATAAAGTATGATATAATAAGTCAGACTTGCGTCTCATCTCTCTCATCCTTATCCTCAAATGTCCATGCATTTTCCTATACTATCCATCAACTCTAAACCTTTATCCTGTGAAATCTCAAGGAAAAGACACTTGTCCTCTTTTCAGACCGCACTCTACTCATCCATGTCCTCTCTTACCCAACAAAACACCTCACCTATCTAGAAGTTCACTCATCCACTTGTCTTTAATCTAGGAAAGTGATGGCCTACCCCAATATCCTATCGGCTCCACTCTGCCACCCCTCGGATTATCCGTCCAGTGATGGTCACCAATCTTCCGTGTACATGATACTTAGTCATTCCCAACTCAATGTACCTCCCTAGTACCCTTATTATTAAATGACTTTGCAATTCTCTGTCACTACCATTCGTACTCTCGTCACAAGGCTTCCTGTCCCGTTCCTCCAGGTATGTTTGGGTCAATGAGGTTCCCAAATCTGTCAAAACCATCTCCTTCAATATTAGTGCTTATTAGACCATTCGCTTCATCAGCCTTCCTGACATGGCAAAACCTCAATATTCTTGGGCACAATGCATGCAGACCGCATTCTTCAAACCCCTTCTTCCTTTCCCAAGTGTTTGACCACTCCCTTGACCACTTTGGATTCTGACGGTGTTCCAGTTTGTATTATCGCTTCTCCTATGGCCTCTGCTATCACTTCCTCTTCCATTGCTTCCGAGGCCCCTATTACCAGGACCACTACTTCCTCGTCTACCAATATCTTGACCTCTTCCCCAATCTCGACCTTGATCGTGGTCATAGATCATTCGCGCTCAGTTTCTTGCCTTCCGCTGGGCCTTGGTCAACTTCTGAGGTCTAGGTTCGTCTTCTATCTCAATCACGTTTTTACCCCTTTCTCTAGCCTGGTAGTCACATCGCTTCTTCTCAACTTTCGCAGGTCGGAGAGAACCTTGATTATCGTTATTCGTTTTCTCTCCACTACTACCAGCTAGTCCATCCGACATCCCCTTTGAGACTTTTCGCTTGCCTTTTCTGTCACTTTCTAGTTGTGTCATTCTCTCTTCCAATGCTCTCACTTGTGTCTGTATACTGTCGAGTTCCCCTTGTGTTGACGCACCACCGATTATTCGATTGGGGTCATTACACTAACGACCGCCGATTTCGTGCTCGGGAAATCTCGAGCTCAACGAGCTTTCCTGTTCACTCCACGTTCGTAATCTCAGCATGAAATCGTATACTTCGTCGCCCAACTCCTCACATACGAACAAAGGGAACATGGTCAACATCGCCTTCTCATCCCACTTCTTCGTAATACTAAAGTTGTGGTAATCGCGCAGAAAGCTAGACAGGTTCTCCCCTTGAAACAGCAGAGTTCTAAGGTCTGGGGGCATTGACTCGTTCACAGATTCGCGTGTCAATACTTTGGCGAGAGAAGAATTCATCCAAAGAAGGGCTTTGTCCAAACCACCATCTCCAGCCATGGCCGCCGCCGCCATCCTGTAAAAATACAGAAATCGACGAAGCGTCAGGCTGTAAGCTGAAGGTGATGTCCAATAAACTCCTCTATTCCCACCTTCAAAAGGATACAAAGGCATAAGCTTTAGTCATCCATTTGACGGAGCAATTATCCTTTGCACTGACCTTAAAGGCGTGAATAGCGCAAACAAATGTATGAAAGGACACTTAAATAAATCATAATCCCCTAATCATGGATTARAAGAAGTMATAACATCCTTCTGCTTGCATACCCCATTCGGAGTTCCAGTCSGWYGACGCGGATTGAGAGATGACAGAAGGATCATGAACATGAGGCGTTGACTGAAACTCTGGTTGGCAGGAGTGAGGAAGGACCGTCAATTGCCGATCTTGAGAAGAGAAAGAAGGCGGTGGATAAGACTCGATTTGACGGCAGCTTGGTGGCTCACAACACAGAGGTGAGGTGTCGTAACGCCTCTCACATTTGTAATATGTCATCTTTCCCGAAGACGAGGTACTCTCACTCCTCTCGTCATGATGGCTACGAGCCTCTACCCGTTTTTCCTTCTCTTCTAGCCCTCCATCTTTCTTCTTCCAACCCTTTCACTCTTTGGTCAAATTTATAGACTTCTCAGTGACCTTCCCTTACCTTCTTCTTCTTCKTCTCCCAGTACTTGTCCCATGGCCTTTTGAGTGTCATATTTATGAGAGGACAATAGTTACACAATAGAGCCTTTAAAGTTATCTGACCCAATACCGTCGGTKTTTTAGAGATTCTAGATAACCTCAKRTTACTGTCAATGGAATACTTCTCCTTCACTCTCTAGGGCGATCCTTGTCACAAGTTCTCWCTGAMARTCGCCTTASTTGTACCACCTATTTGYTYATRGAACCTATTTTATTWTATAAGCCCCTAAGTGGTTTATATKCAATGACCACTCTTACGTAATCCCTACTCAGAATCTTTGATCAAACTATATCCGCGTAAGTAGATTAGAGTTGTCSTTTTGTCTAGATCATCGACTTACCATACCCAAGTTCGTTCACTGCGGACCTCGGCTAGGAAGCGAGATCCCTAGCAAAGGRTTAACTCGTTGYCGGTGGGCATCTGGTATTAATAATGATAATCATGCTGACAATTAAAGGTTGTCGTCTAGCGAGTACTCCAATTTACCAAACCCAGGTCCGTTCACATAGGACCGCGACACGCAACCAAAGGTCTCCGGCAA